CTCTCTGTCTGTCTGGCGAGCGCACGCACCCTACAGTGAAAATCTCTCCAAAAAAAAAAAAAGAGCCAGAGAGAGAGTCATCTGCCAGCACAGAGAAAGTTCAAGTGTAGGGGTCTGGAGCCCCTCGGTTAAGGGTAATGTAATAACGCAGAGAACAACTTTGGTTCTGATCCTCAATTCTCTGAATGCCAATAAAGCTCTTATGCTATGGGCCACCCCCAGGCAGTAGCTGAGCCTTGTACAGAGGAAGCCAATTCCACGTGGCTGACTAGAGTTGGAGTCTCCTGCCCCTGCAGCATGAAAAACATCACAGGTGCACTCACATGCCTGGGATCCTAATGGGGTGGAGAGCTGGAAAAAAAGACTGGTGTGACCAGATCCTGTTGGAGGTTTCTTTTTCCCTCTGGCACTAACAAAAACAAAAGCTCTTATAGGCAGCAGGATGGACTACAGGGATGAAAGGAAGCAAGCAACCACCTAGCAGAATAGCGGCTAACATTTGCTGAGTCCTTATTACAAGTTAGACAGTTTACATGTAGTAGTTCATTTAATCTCATATAACAATACTCTAGTCACTGCTGCACTAACAGACTGAGGACCAGAATTAAGTAATATGCCACCCAGGTGACAACTGGCAAAACAGAATGACAAACCTAGGCATTTGATGTGACCCCAGGGCCCTCTACTACAGCTGCCTCTGTATAGAAGATGAAAACGACTTAACCCTAAGAGGGCAGTACTAGAGGTATGAATGGGAGAGGAAGTGCAGATAAATTCCAAGTTCCTTCTGCTTTGGGTACAAACTGGACTCACTGGGCATTTGGTAGCAGAAGGAACATCTCACCAGTGTTAGTCTGGCATCTGCTAGGACAGGAAGAAGCTGCAGGGAAACAGAGGACAGAGACCTGGTGATAGGCCAAAACGACCGAGTGACCTGCCAAGTGCACAAGGAGTCATATCTTCAATCAGAGTTCGCCACCAAACACTATCTTAAAAGCTGAGCCTACTCAGTAACAATCCCGGAAATACCACCGAGGCTTGAGACCTACTGAAGGTTTACTGAAGTTATCTCTCCTCTGAGAGGTAGAAAAGAGATGGGGGCAAACTACAGGGAGCCCTTTACAAGCCTCCAAGATTCACAGCACTTCCTTCCCCCCCCCACACACACAAACTTCCAACTCTTAAGAAAATGAGACCCAGAGCTAGATAGCCCACTAGAAAACTGGAGTAAAGCCAATGGGAGTCACTGACCGGTTTTCTCACATCTCATGTGGTGTCCCCATCTGCCTTGTCCATTCTCCTGATGGAGAGGCTGCCCTCCCAGCAGCCGGCTAAACCCTGTACACTCAGTAGACACTAAATGTGCGTTTATTTTTATTTTTAAAAAGTTTTGGAGAGGTTTTTGCTGTAGGGCGCGTGTGCTCGCTCCAGAGACAGACAAAGAGACAGAAAGCGAGGCATTAACCCCCAACCCCCAGGGGGGGATGGCCACGCTGCAATCCCTTCTCCTCCATTCTCCTCTCTGGATCTTGGGCACGCACACACACACCCACGGCGTAAGTTTTAAGCCATTGGGTCTGGACTGGAACCGCGGTCAACTACATGGGAGTCCAGCGACATAGCCATTAAGCTAACTGCTGGTCTCTAAATGTGCATTTATTAACGACCCAGCAAGTGAGTGAATGAATGAAAGTACAAGCAGAAGAGCTTATTCCTATGCATGCAGGATTGGCAGGGTTCAGAGACCGCGAACGACTACAGTTGAGACCCTTCTCGGCCCGTTCTTGGAGCCACGCGTCTTTGCCTTCCTCACTTCCCGGGGAGCCTGGATGTCCATGTTTGGCCGCCGATCGCGTAAGCACGCTCGACCAGCAGTCGTTCCACACGGGTCTGGATTGTGCAGGTATCGGAAAAAGGGGTCCCCGAGGTGGTTCGCGGCCCCAAAGCACCCTGGGACTTGTAGTCCTGGGCCGACCTGACCAGAACCTCCCCTTGAGCCCCACAAAGCCATAGTCAACGGCTCTTGCTCCATGCCCGACCCAGCCAGGCCGCAGAGGGCCGGGGTCGCTCAAAGGCTGGGGTCCGGGCGAGGACAGACGCGGAAGGCAGAATAGAGGTCTACCGGCTGGGCCCCGACCAGCGGCACCAATCACCCGGCCTGATAGCAGCGGATGGCGACGGATACGCAAGCCCCTACCCACCATCATCTTGAGCTGTTCAGTGGCCCGCCACTCTTCTCTTCGGCTGTACCGGCCGCCCAGCTACCCCACAATGCCCCGCGCCAGAGAAGTCCTCAGAAGCTTCGGCAGAGCGTTAGACCCGGAGAGGAAAAGGATGGGCCACTTCCGCCACTCTATGGTTTGCTACCACCGAGTCGTTGTGGCTAGAAGGGCCACAGGCTGGGCCTGGGGAGATCTACAGAAAGACGTTACTTGTGGGATTGAGGTCGTGCCTCTCTTCTTTGAGCATGTAGGATCTTTATTTGGACCGCATTGCTTACTAACCTTTATCCCATTTCCCTCTGCCCGTACACCAGACTAAGGAATGCAATAAACACAAACATTTATTGAACACCGATTGTGGTTCGGGCTTAGACGAAATAGCACTTTATGTGAGACAGTTAATCCTCACAGCCCTGGCGCGTTGGCACTATTATCAAGCCCATTTTATAGATACGGGGACCGACTGTGAGGTTAACAAAGGAATCCAATCGCAGCTGTAAAGCCTGGCTCCAATACACATTTTTTTGGCTCAGCCCTGGCCAGAGCCTGCTCGCTAGTGGGGTGCACCAGGCCTCGGCCCCGCAAGCGAAGGTGGAACCGGGTAGAAGACCACCTGCGCACTGGACCAAGGACATTCCGAGGAGGGGCTGGAAGAGGGAAGCACAGTTGGGAGAAAGCGAATCATTGTAGATCCTGCCGAAAATGTAAGACCTGACAGCCAGGACTTTTGACGGCCAAAGCAGAGTCCAGTGGAGTGCACAGTTCCAGTTCCTCGTGGTCGGCTGAGGTCCGGGAGAGTCCAATCCTAACTGAGACCTGCTGGGGCGGGGCTGGCTTGAGGACCAGCAGTTGCTATTAACAGTTTAGACCAATTAGCCCTCGGCCCCACTTCGCTTGACCAATAGGAAGTGGGCTAGGGCGCAGAGGCGGAAAGTGTGTCTACATGAGCAGGCGTCAGAGCCAATCAGCCATAGGCCTCGTTCTCGTCTGCCAACCAGCTGCAACAGCGAGTCTGTGGGCGGGAGGCCGGAGCAGCTGTCAGGCTAAAGTCCGACGAGCGACGCGCGGCGGGGCGGCTGTGGGAGAAGCGGCGCCGGGGCGGGCCTCCGGGATCGTGCCCAAAGCTGTTGTGGTCGCGGGCTCGGGCTCCCGGCGTGCGTCGCGGCCCACGGTGAGCGGCAACGGGTGGGGCTGCGCTGCGGGGTGGGGCTGGCCGTCGGGCTGGTACGCGTCTGGGCCGGGGGCCACGGGTCACCTTGGGGACCCCCGTGAGTTCGAAACAGGGCAAGTCCGGGGACTGGCGGCTGGAGTGAGTGGGTGCTTGTCCCCAGGCACTTGAGCTTGGTAAAGCTTGGGGCTGTGTCCTTAATCCTTCCTACGTCGAAGCAGGTCTCCCCAATCTCCGTCACTTCTACTTTCGCTGACCCAGGTGACAGGATGTGACTAGGAGTCACAAGGGACAGCTGGAGAGCCCACAAGCTTAGATATATATGTGAGCATCCACATGCATATACAAAAGTACACATTCCTACATGTGAGCTCACACTCACAAGCACCCACACACCTGTCTGCACCTACATAAGTGCATACATGTATACACCTATACACATACGTTAGCACATATATATACCCACGTTTTACACAGAAAGGCACATGCAAAAGCCAAGCGAGTGTGTTGGGGACATAGGAGGGGTGGAGAAAACACTTAACACTAATCCATGCTGGCTTCCTGGAGGCATACCTATCTGATGGGGAGGTCTCACTCCCAGGACAAATGCTAGATAGCCCAGAACCAAGCCAGTGGCACTCCGTATCATCAGGGCTGTGATCTGGGCAGTAGACCAGGACATCACTCCCAGCCCTGGCACACGTACTGGCTTGCTGGTTTGTGGACTAATGGCCATGTGGCAGTAGCTTCTATTCAACATTTCTGAATCTCCCTGGGCTAAGGAACCTAAGAACTCAAGTCCAGATAAAACATTAAACTTCGGTGCTGAAGAGAAGTTCCTACACCCCAGAAAAATCTGTTTGTTTTTCTGGCAGTTCTCTTCCTCAGTGTAGTGAGGCTGCACATAGTTGTTCATACAACAACCCTTACTGAGCGCTCAGTGAAGCACTGGGATTCAGCACTGAATAAAGCCACAAACTTAGGATCCCTGCCCTAATACAGGAGATAGATACATTTTTAAAGAATTATTTTATTTAACTTTACTTATTTATTTATTTAAATTTGACCAGAGAGGGACAGAGCAAGAGCAAGAGTGAGAGAGAGAAAGTGAGTGAGAAAGCAATCCACCAGGGCTGGGACTCAAACTATGGTTGATCACGTGGGAGTCCAGCGCCCTTAACCACCACGCCACCTGCTGGCCCCGGGAGATAGCTAAAACCACACTGGGCACATGTGCATGAATGCCCAAGATCCCAACAAGATGGAGAAAAGAGGAGATTGTTGTGTGATTACACCCCTTTGGGAGGGTGCTTTCTCCCTCTCTCTGCCAAGTACATGCATTAGGAAATTAGGAAATTAGGAAAACAAAGTACAGGGACTAGCAGATGGCATAAAATGGTTACATCATTGGACTCCCATGTAATCGACTGCAGTTCGAGTCCCAGACCTAGTGACTTAAAACTCACACTGGGCACGTGTGTGTGTGCATGCCCCAAATCCTGAGAGATTGGAGGAGAAGGGATTGGGGCATGGCCATTCCCCCTGGGGGGTGATTTTTCACTTTCTCTCTCTGGTGACCACACGCACTCTATAGTAAAAATCTCTTTAATTCTGTTTCTCTCTGTCTCTGTCTCTCCAACAAGTACACCCACCCTATAGCAAAAATGTCTCTAAAAAAAGAAAGACTAGGGTGCCTGTGTGCCCTTGAGGGAAAGACAAAGAGAGAAAGAGAGTGAGAAATCATTCTGGAGGGAGGGGGGGTGGCCACGCCACAATTCCTTCTCCTCCAGTATTCTCTCAGGACTTTGGCCAGGCACATACACATGCGTTTTGTTTGGTTTGTTTGTTTATTTGTTTTTGAGAGGTTTTCACTATAGGGCGCGTGGGTTCGCCAGACAGACAGAAAGAGACATAGAGACTCATCCCCCAGGGGGGATGGACACGCCGCAATCCCTTCTCCTCCATTCTCCTCTTGGGATCTTGGGCACGCACGCACATGCGCCCAGCATGAGTTTTAAGCCACTGGGTCCGGGACGCGAACCACGGTCGACTACGTGGGAGTCCAGCAACATAGCCATTATGCTAACTGCTGGTTCCCCATGCCTGGTGTTTTAAGCTGCTAGGTCTGGGACTTGAACTGTGGTCAACTACGTGGAAGTCCACTGATTTAACCATTATGCCATCTGCTGGTCCCACAAAGTACATTTTGAATGGGCATAGGGGGGACAATCATGAGAGATTTATTTGAGAAAATGAGGTTTAAGCTATGACTTGGAGGGTGATTAGTAGTGGGTCAGGTAAAGAGGTGGAGGTGAGGGGCCAGCAGGTGGCATGTTGGTTGGGGCACTGGATTCCCACAGGACTGATTGCGGTTTGGGTCCCAGACCTGGCAGCTTGCTTTCTCACTTTCTCTCTCTCTGATGAGCCCACGTACCCTGTAGTAAATTTTAAAATAGTAATAATAGATCAAATTAAATAGATCTTTAAAAAATAATAATAAAAAGATGGAGGTGAGGTGTGGAAAAGTGAGAGTAAGAAGCCTTCCAGATGGAGGGAACAGCTTGCAATGTAGTGTGAATGAAGGAGGTGAGGCTGGAGTAGTGGATCAAGCAGGGCCTCGTGGGTCACAATTAAGAATTTACAGTGTATTCTCAGTGCAAAGGTAAGTCATGGACGGGTACCAAAGGCCTGGGAGTGGTTATCTGATCGTAATTGCTAAGATCTCTGGTTATTGTTTCAGTAATGGACCTTAAGAAGCATGAATGGAAGCAGGTAGACTAGTTGAGAATTGTTTTATACTGAGGTCATTACCTCATCACCCTCAAGCTCCCAAGTCCATCTGGATTAGCCCTAGAGCTGTATTTCTGGCTCAGGTGTGTAAGCAGCAGTGGCAGATAGAAATCTCTGGGGTCATTGTTTGCATCAGCTTTATTTTTCCCAGGGTAAAAACCATCTATCCCACCTACCTTGGGGACCAAGTCAGCTGAGTCTGGGCCCTGGACCTAGACTCTAGCCATCCCAGTTAAAGACAAGGTGAGTGATCCGAACTGGAGCCAGCTTGTCCTAGGGAAGCATCTCACCTGCGCTCTTTACCTTCAGGCCTCCGCATCCATGATTACTTGTACTTCCAAGTGCTGAGTCCTGGGGACATTCGGTACATCTTCACAGCCACACCTGCCAAGGACTTCGGTGGGATCTTTGTAAGTTCAGGAAGGCCCTTGACCTCAGCATCCCCTGCCTTTCACTGAGCTGCTGTGGTCCTGTCATCCCATCTGAGTGCTGGGACAGAGAAGGGAGTAGAATCCAGCTCTGTCCTCCAGGAGCTGCAGTGCAAAAAGGAAGTGCTTCCAGGTATTTCCCTGATCACCATGGCAGGACCAGCTGAACACCAAGGGTGTCATGTTGTCCTGCCAGCTCTCCCTGAGACTTAAGGCATGTCACTTTCCCTCCCCTACGTTTCTCCTGGGATGGCAGGGGAGAGTAGGATAACCAGACAGGTCTCTGTGAAAATTTAGTAAAAATGCTTAAGTGCCCAGCCACACAGAAACCACTCCTCTCTTCCTGCATACTTCACGAGGTGCCACGGTGGTGAGCCCAGTCCTGAAGCAGGTGTCTCCTTACACCCACCTATCCCAATCTCTGAACGTTTTCCAGCACACAAGGTATGAGCAGATTCACCTTGTTCCTGCCGAACCCCCCGAGGCGTGTGGAGAACTCAGCAACGGCTTCTTCATCCAGGACCAGATCGCTCTGGTGGAAAGGGGGTAAGGGAGGCAGGCCTGGCACAAGTGGGGGGAGCACCATAGGACAGAGCCTGATTGGTGGAGGTGCTTGGAAGCAGCTGTTTTTGAATAGCTCTCTTTTTTAAGGGTCTTTAAGAAATGTCTGAAGATTACCCATGCTTTGGGCTATTTATTTATGAGCCTTTATAACAAATTGCTCATGGCTCTCTTTTCATCCTTCCAGGGTGATGGCCTGGTGGAGGGGTGGCTAGGACCTGCCTTTCCTTTGGGCTCATCACTACCTCTTCTAGGGGCTGTTCCTTCCTCTCCAAGACCCGGGTGGTTCAGGAGCACGGCGGGCGGGCAGTGATCATTTCTGACAACGCAGTTGACAATGACAGCTTCTATGTGGAGATGATCCAGGACAGTACCCAGCGCACAGCTGACATCCCCGCCCTCTTCCTGCTCGGCCGAGATGGGTGAGGGCTCTTTGGGTGCCATGACTCAGGAAGGTCAAGGGTAATTATCAGTTCCTTCCTGCAGGCCTCCTCTTGGGGTGCCCCAGTTGGAGGGGGAAAAATTCTCAGGCTCTGGAACTTCCAGAGTCATGGAAACAGTGGGGGATGCTGGGATGTCAAGTGACCATCGCCAACCTCTCTTCATGCTCTCCCAGCTACATGATTCGCCGCTCCCTGGAACAGCATGGACTGCCATGGGCCATCATTTCCATCCCGGTCAACGTCACCAGCATACCCACCTTTGAGCTGCTGCAACCACCCTGGACCTTCTGGTAGAAGAGCTGCTCCCACTTTCCAGCCCTAAGTGACTCTGGGCTGGGACAGGGAGACCCAGGAATTCTATTTGGAATTTGGGGATAGCATCTGGGGGCAAGAGGACCCAGGTTGAGGAAAAGGCCTTGGGCCTTGGTTAGGCTGGAGGAGGAAAGCCTCACTACTGGCCTTCCCTCCTCTGGGACCCCAAGAGTGTCTCATGCTACAGGACAAGGCGAGAGTCAGACCCGGGAGCTGCCGGCTGGGATCTAGAACAAAAGGAGCTAAAGGCAGAGAGCCTGGAGCCATCCGTGGTCAGATCCCACCTGGCTCCAGCCTCTCCCACCCAGGGTTTCCTCTCAATGACTGTCACAGCACTTGCTGGAGTGGTTTAAGGAACTGGTGTTGAGGACTCAATAAACCCTGACTTCTTAGCAATAAAGCTTCCTTCCAGGGTTGCAACTGTGTCCTAGAATTGGAGCACACAGGGGTGAGGGGCCTTCACACTCACTCATCTCTTTCCAACCTTCATTTGAGGCTCACAGAGGACAGTGACTTGTCCGAGGTCCTTTAGGCCCAGCACTCTGCTCATCTTGGATCCCAACACAGCCTCCTGCCAAGAGCTCGTTCAGGCTGCTGCATGCTCTGGGCAGCCCGGGCAGCCCCTCTCTACGAAGCATTCCCAGAGGCCTGTCACCACTCATGTTTTATTGAGAACAGTGGGTGGGAGGGAGTGGGAGACGAGTGTTGGGTGCTATGGAGTGAGAACCCAAGAGGCGAGGGGTCTGGATAGGCAGGCTCAACCTGGCTTCAAGACCCAGGGCCCTCCCTAGGATCCCTTGCTGGAGGCTGCGGCAAGCCCCTCAGGGAAGTAGGCAGGAAGACACTGCCAGTGATAGGTTGTAAATCCCACAGCATCCAACCCAAAATCGTGAGAGGCGGTGCTGACCTGGGAGGGGACACAATCAGAGCTCATGTCTAAGAATCTAGTCTAGCTCCTCTAGGTTTCTGGAAGACTTCACTGTTCTTCTGTGGAGAATCTAAAGATGGAGACTGAGGCCAGGAGAGCCCCTCTCTGACCCATTTTAACCGGCTCCAGGAAGACTAGTGCATCCTGGGTTCAGCA